TAAGACTGACGAATTTCATCGGTTAAAATAAGCCTATTCTTCATATGAGGTAATTTTGGATTTTATTGTGTACTAATTATTTGCTCTGTAATAATAAATACATTGAGCTCTTTTTCTGGATCAGTTTTAATATTTTATATTACTAGGATCCACTTGGATTATAAATCAATGGATTTATTATCTTTATCATATATATATATATATTATATATATATATATATATATATATACACACACACACACACACACACACAAATATGTTGACCAAAATTGAATATTTGAATTTGAGAAGTATGTGCAAATCAAATGTAATACAGGTTTTGTTTAGCTACTATGTAAGGAGTGCTCTCTAAGAACAGTGTGTGTGTGTGTGTATATATATATATATATATATCCAAAATAACTATTTTAAAACAGACAGGAGAAACTGGGATTACCACTGAAGGGAGTTATTCTCCTAAAATTTTGGATATGACATACACAAGTGAAATTCAGTAATATTCCATACAAGGAAATTTCCTGTACAGAAGTTTCCTGTAACATCACGGATTATAAATACCTAAAAAGAAAAGGAGTATACTTGATGAAAAAAAAAATGGCAAAAACTAAATAAAAACAGTTTTATTGTCAAAATCTTTGTTATTATTAAGAGAGAAGGCCAAAGAATTTTTTGATGTAAAAATTTATTATTATTTTTTAATCCTTCTTAGAAGAACCTTGGACATTCAGGTTAGAAATCTTGTTTTTCTGACATCAAAGGTGAGGGACCATAAATTAGTATGTGAAATTTGAGTGTCTTTTTGTAGTGAAAAACATTGATTTGCAAAGTCTTGCAAAAATCAAATAACTGTCACATTTTAATGAAACATTCAGGACTTATTCACAAATGAAGTTATTTTTTTTCAAAAATTTCTTTAGTAAATTGTTACTATATATATATATATATATATATATAAAGAAAAATATACTGAAAAAAAACAAACAAAAATCCTAATATGCGATTATGCTGTTTTAATGTTTAATGTCAACGTTGGACGTTTCAGTCTAATAGACCATCTTCAGGACATATTCATAAAACATAATTAACAGACCATATACAATTCAACATGAAAAAGACGATGGACATAAAAGCAATACCAATCCAAACAGAAAACTGAAATCTTTTATAACACTAGACCTGGCTTCTTTAATATTTCCCCTTTTCTAGCAAGATTAATGCTCGACAAACGTACATATAAGTTTTAGATCAAAATAAAATTCTTTTCGTTTTTCATTCAAAATACTCAAATTTTAGGAATACGTTTTCACAGCATCGCCCACATGACGACGACGACGTGATCATATTTAAACAGAACGCTGATCTTATAAATTCAATTCTCTTACAATTCACGTTTAATTTTATAAAATTTCAAAGTTTTGTAATGCTTAATGCTTTTATTAATTTTAAGTCTTCCAATTTTTTTTTTTTTTTTTGGTCAAACAGGATCCTCAGAGAAAATTTGCTCTGAATTGTAAAATGAAATAAAACTAAGACCTTATTTAATTAGTAACGGTTAACTGCTTTTATAAAGAAGGCCAGAGCGTACAACAGCTGAAACATTGTGAATATGGCAATGAAGATGAGGATAATAGTTTGAATAATGTAAATAATTCAAGTAATCGTAATACCTCTTCTATGAGATATAGAAAGGCTCAGAAAATATTTAAAAGCCTTAAAATTAGGAAATTACTGAAAAAGTAAAAAAAAAATAAATGAAGATACAAAATCATCAAGAAAGACAAATTAGCATTAGTTTTAACAAAATCCAACAGTTACAAACATTCATTAGAAAATAGGAACAACATTGAAAATAAAAAGCAATGACTTGTAAATTTCATCCATTAATTTCCTCGATTTCTACACTTGTTAGTATCAAAAACATTCCGGATAATCACTCTTCAATGGTATCATCTGCTTAATTGTTGAAATCTATCGTGTTTTTGTTTTACAGACAAGGTATCTGCACTCCATGTCTAACAATCTTTGTACAGCTTAAGGTATATGAGTTTTGAATTCAGAGTTATCCTTCTCCTAGATTGGATGCCAACCATGGCAAGAGTGCACTGTTTGCCCTGCTATTTAACCTATAGTAAATATCAAATGATTTTTAGAAATCGTAATTGGGAAGAAGACATCAAGCAACTTTTCAGCCCAAAACAGGAAAAACAAATCTTTAACTATAAGTTTGTCTCATGAAGGGATATTTTAGCAAAAAGTAAAACATGATGAAAATCACTATTCTTTGTGAAGAACACTTTCTTTATTTTTAAATGAAATATATATATATATATAGAAAATCAGTATGAATTTTATACAATCGATTCATGCATTTTAGACAAATATGCACACCATAATTCTCAATAGTGTAAAATATCCTTTATAAAGAAACATTTAATTCTGAAAAGGTATGCATGTTGCTAAGGCCTGAAAGAACAACAAATCTTGTTAATACCACAATGTTTATTTAGATTATCATTAAAACAGAATTAGTGACTGTGTAGTGTCTTACAGCTTGTCAAAAACGAATGCAGCAGAGACGCATTAGGAACATCCAAAGAAAACACGGAGATCAGTTAAAAGGTTCTAGCACATACGAGAGACTAATCCACCTCGCATCTGTACTATATCTAACAGAAACGAACATCTGCTTATGGCTGTCAATGATGTCACAACATCAAACTGATAAGAACATATATGATACTTAACCCTTTCAAGTACACATTTGTATAACTGATGCATACAGCAAAAACTATTATTGTTCATTTCAGTAGACATATGTAAATGACTTAGAAAAATACTATTATCAAATGTATTATTATAAATATAGCAATGGAACACTATTTCCGCGTTATCACATATCAATCCATTTTTGGGACAATTATGTCCCACAGGATGTCTTGAAAACATCTGTGGGACACATATATCCCAGGTGACTTGAAAGAGTTAAAAATAAAATAATTTTTGAAATGATAAAAAAAAAAAAAAAATAAGACATTAAACACAAACGAAAATAAAAAGCAAAGAAAACACCATAATAGTGAATATTTTCCAAATCCTACAAAAAACTAAAACTGCATGAGCAGCTTGTAATATTAACCATGCAGTCAGGCAAGTGATAATTAAAAGAATTATTCCGCATGATTCTCTTTCATACTCACAAATTGAAGTCATGATCGTCACAACATTAAGAGAAAAATAAAAACAGGTAAGGCAGACAGAAATGGAAGCAGTTAAGTTAAAATAATATCTAAAGTAGTAACAGCAAGATCAATTATATGCAGAACACACTATTACACATGTCCCCACATTACCTAGAGCTAAAATTAGTCATTTTGCAAAGTGCTAATCATATATTCTTTTTGAGAATAAATCAAGCTCCACCACCTCTGGATTTGAAAATTGGTTAATTTATTCTTAATCACTCTGATAACCAAGATCCTGCTTAAGCTAAAATATCTTAACCCACCGTAATGTTAAAAAAAAAAAAAAAAAAAAAAAATCTGTAGTAACTAAATTAAGCTTACTTATAATGTGCAGGTAGTGCTCAAACAATGAAAGTGGAACTAGTGTGCAGAGTTCAAATCCTAACCATGTCTGTTGTGTTAGCTTAAGCTAAAGTCTTGGAAAAAGTATGAAACCATTCTCCTCCATCTATGAGTTAAATATAGCAAACTGGAATTTCTGGCCTTAGTCAGGCAAGCACTCATGGAGAAGGACAACAAGTTCAAAACCAGCCTGATGAAGAAGGAGCTCTGTCATGCTAGCTTACACTAGACACACCCACATGTGTCCTCATAACCAAATAGGAGACAGCGAGACAGGACTCTTGATGTACTTTATTGTAATCTTTACAATCACTAGCTGTACCTATTTCTTCAACAACCAACAGACAATGAACAAAAATATAGAATAAAAAATTGTAAATCCTTCTCCTTACGCTGTTTGGTTGGATGGTTATTTTTGTTAAATAGCATATCAAATATTATTGATGATTTAATGCTAAAATTTATATATTTTGAACACTTTTTTTTTTTTTTTTTTTTTTGGAAGGGGTGGATATAAAAGTTTTTAGTGATACCAGTATTACTAATTAACCCATAGCTGGAGGAGAAAAGGTGGATTTATACCATTCCCAAAAGTATTTGTGACTATAACAAATTCAAGTGGAAATGAAACTCGGCTCTCCAATTAACAATTCCGAGTCATTATTCATTACACCAACCACGCATACAAGCTTACAGTACCTGGTATTCCAAAGCAGTCACCCATCTAGGTACTGACCTGGCTCGACATTGCTTAACTACAGTGATCATATGGAAACTAGTGTTTCATTGTGATGTAGCCGTAAGCCTTACACTATATGGGTACTTAAAAAGGAAACAACATTTACCCCCATCACTCAAATGGTCTGCTCTCTTTATAACTAATATCATTTAAGTTTACTCCTTTAGTCTATTAACAAAGATGAAGGTCAGAGGTTACAACAGTTTAAACATTATGATAACAACAAAGATAAGGACAATAGTTCACATGCAAATCATGTAAATGACAATAGCATGTCATCCCAGAATTTATTAGTAACAATGTTGAAAGCTGAACTTTTTTTCCTTTAATCTATTAAATATTTTAAGAAAGAATTTAAAAGGGTAACGGGTCTTGTTTGTAATTATAAGAGATATGGTTGAGTAACGGATTGCAGCTCAGAGTTCATATTCCAGTACCAGAGAGCCAAGTTCAAATTCCAGCCAAGTTCATTACATTCACTTATGTACTAATATCCTTGGGAAAGATATTAATCAAATTCTTCTCCACCCAGTTATGAGTAAATAATAGGAGAGACTCGGTTCTATAGCCTTGTTTGGCAGGCAGTCTAACAGAAGGAAAACTCTGAATTCAAAACTGTATGCAGCCCTGACAAAGCACATACTATGTGTTGTTGAGTGGTTTCACAGTGGAGGCTTGTATTTCACCAAGTCGGTCCTAAAAAGGTCCGACTTACAAAATGTTAGGAACTTGTTATAATAGTTAATGATGCAGCAATCTAGTTGTGGTGGCTGATACTTTAATGTCCGACATCGACTGACTCACCAATTCACTGGCGACTGCTACTACTACTACTACTTATTATAGGTGGGAGAGTCTATTAACAATAGAATAGGTATGTTCCGGTATAACACTATGCAGCTAAGGAAAAGATAATTTGCATTGACTTAGTCCCAACTATGGTCGACTTCTTCAACCTTCAATGAGTTCCTTGGCGGTCTTGTGCCAAAAATAACATTACAAAGCGTTAAAAGCAACTCATAAGCATCAGAGTAAAAAGACCAACAGCATCCTTACCTAAGTAGAATTTTGTTTTAAATGTTTGCCCAGAAGGCTATCACAGCAAGGTCACTAGAAAGAAGCAGATATCTAGATTCTTCTACTTCTGGCTTACATTAGAGTAACGAAACCCAGACTTATTATAATTCAATGCAGAGCTAGATAAGTAATAGTGTGAACACATCTGCAACATTTTTATTTATTCATTCATTTATTCATTCATTTATTTACTTTGGTAAGTGGTACTTATCAAGAAGTTTTGTTGGGAGCCAGTTCCAGATGTTCATGTCTGTAGAGTAATGATGTCGACACAGGCATTATACATGACATTTTTCGTGAATTTAACCAGATATGAATGTCTAGCTTGCTAACTCAAAAATATTGGAATGGTTTTGTCAAAAGTTTTTAGAAAGTAATTTTTACATAAATGATAAAAAACAAATAAAATATATATAGGAAAAAAAAAAAAAAAAAATCACAAAAAAATAATTCTTAAATCTCGTCTATCCCACCTAACTTGCTCTAACTATAAAGATCCAAAAAAGATAAGTAGATATATTCCTTTTCTCTACCCATGCCAAAGTGCTATGATGAAAAGGTGAAGAAAAAAAAAAAAATTTTTTTTTTTTTTTAAATCATTTCACCACAAGCAAAGCAATAAATCCACTAAGACACAAGGGGTTACTGAGTGTGCGAGAATATGTGAGATAAAAAAAAATAAAATAAAACATTATTAAAGAGAGAGAACAATAAAAGAAGAGAAATTAAGACAAGATAACGATTTACATTGTATTTAAATTTTTGAAGATCAAAGTTAACTGGGAAGCAAAGGGTCGGAAGAGAGATCCACAAACAAGAAGTGGGATAGAAGAAATTGTTAGCATTGAACTTCCAGTTACATTGAAATACTTCAAGCATAAAATGATGAGACCTCTCTACCAATCTAGTACTGCACTCAAATTCATAAAGTCTATGCACCTTAGAGAAAAATTCATCAAAACAATTACCATGAAAGTATTAATAGAAAAGGCACAGGGAAGCAGAGTTGTGACAGTGGGAAAGTAACTGAAACTAAGATGCTAGGTCAGGATCGATAACATTGCAAATTCTTCTATGTATTTTATCCAAAATCTATGAAATCATATCAGAAGCACCAGGCCAGATGTGGCAGCAATATTCTAAGCATGGATGAATGGTGCAAGATAGATTCTGGCAAGAAAAAATGTCTAGCACAACAGTGAATCAAGTTTCCTAAAAAGCAGACCTAGCAGTTGATTCAATATAATCTTTTCAGCAGGAAACATTAGCCAGAGAAGGCTCAACAAGTCCCTTTACTGGAAGTAAACATCAGCCATGCTGATGGAAGGCAAAAAGGGTTCTCACAGAGGATTAATTGAGCAGTTTCATTTTGGAGATGTTAAAATTAACAAGCCATTCCTTGCCCCAGTTAACAACAGATTGTAGGTCAATTTTGAGCTCAGCTGCCAATTTGTCCTTATTGAACCTATAGCCGTGTCACCAGCACAGATACTACACAGATCAATATAGAGTTAGATCATAAATATATTTAAAGATTTTATATAAAACAACTTGAAGTGCAAGCTAAGTAATAAAACTACAAGAATTTTTATAATAATATTACTCTGTAATTAAAATAGTGGCACTACTTAAATAGACTGGAAAGAAATATACTCTGTGAAATAATTTCTAGAGATTAGCATCCATTAGAACTCCCTGAAGCCATAACACTTGTCAGAATTGAAAACTATTTTTTTTTTATTGATTTAGAAGTGGGGTTCTGTTCATAATATTGCTACAATGCCAAACTGACTTTTACAGAGTTACCTTCACTTATTTTTTTATTTACAAATTTTATGATTTTGAAATGTTCTTCTGTCTTTGATATCTGCATATTTTTAATACTTTTTTGTTGAATTTTTGTTCTTTAATTATTAAACATAGAAATACTTTAAAATTGTATACATCTGTTTATTTTTTTAATGGCAAAAAAATTTTTGTAAAAAAAAAATATAAAAAATAAAAATCACTAAACAATTGCTTGTTTAAAATATTTTCTTAAAACAAAATCTAAAAGTAAATACACACACACACATATATATATATATATATATATATATATATATATATATATATATAGTCATTCTATTGAGGTAGTGCCCAAATAATCCTAACCTTCTATATCCTCTTGACCCAACATAATGACATAGCGAATCAAATCAGAGAAAATCAAACAAGGAAAAAAAATAAACTTGCCATTTTAAGATATGACCTGTCAGATATATAAAAATGACTATAGAATAGAAAGTTCCACTGAACAAACATTTTTGCTTCATATTGATTTTTTGAGTCATATTCAATTTTTAAGAAATATCAAAATGCTAAAAAACAAAGCTCTGATCATATTATATACAAGAAGAATTTCAGATTGAATAATGTTTCATTAACAAACTTAGCACTTTTTTTTTTTTTTTGAGAGAGAGAGAGAGAGAGAGGCAACGTGCTTATGCTTGAGTTTATCTTCAACTGATAGGTGTAATCTGATTGAGTAAAAACTAAAGTTTACTTGTGCCAAAAGTTATCTAATAAGGTAAACTTAAGCCCATTAGCAAAAATTACTGGCTAGGAAAAGATCAGTAAAGTTAGGAGAGAAGATTATCATGTATGAAAACAAGGCAAAATATTATTGTGGTTTAACAACAGGCTATCAAAGAAGATAAATCAAAACCTGAGAAGTTCAACAATTCCAATTTCTATACGTTCCAGACAAGAAGCAAAAAAATCTATTAAATATAACAAATAAGTCCTAAGAAAATAAGGTTACAAGTAATTTAGAAAAGAAGTATATTTTTATAGGAAAATATATTTTTATTATGTGCTTATTATGGAGAATATATTTTTATTATGTGCTTATTATGGAGAATACATTTTTATTATGTGCTTATTATGGAGAATACATTTTTATTATGTGCTTATTATGGAGAATTTTTTTTTTTTTAAATCTATTAAATACAACAAATAAGTCCTAAGAAAATATGGTTAAGAGTAATTTAGAAAAGAAGTATATTTTTATAGGAAAATATATTTTTATTATGTGCTTATTATGGAAAAAAAAAAATTTTTTTTTTTTTTTTAAATGCAAATACAATCTTTTTTCTTGGTCAATTATGCCTAAAATTTTAAAGTATGGAAACCAAAGAAGAACAATGATGATAAGAAACTCAACATATGACATTACAAAAACCTCTAACCTCAACTTTTAAGGCTTAAGTTAATGTTTTCAGTGAGAAAAAGAATATGACAAATTTATCTTTTTGTCCTTTCATATTTTCATAAAGATGAACATAAAACCAGAGTTAGGATTTAATTTACATTGTAAATCAAACATCCACCATCAACGGAGGATAACTTGGGATTATTTTGTCTTTCACTATGTGATTTCATTAAACTCCACTGTGGCCAGAGGGCCAGTTCTACCACACAGGTTGTTGATTCTATAATAAGTAGACTAGTTTTAACCCATGAAAAATTTCAGTTTTCCTATTAAATATTCTGATGAATCTTAATTCTTAAGTTAATGATCAAGTAAGCTCATGGCAAGTTCTACGGCAATAAAATATCCGTAGAAATTCCCCAATCACATCATTAAAATATAGCTTAACAACTTCAACAAAATATTGCAACAACAATCATAGATATGAATACTGGTTGTTATTTTCAGAAGTGGGTACAGATACCGAGTCGTATCTGTAGAAAGTGGAGCCCTTGACAAGGCTCTAAAGCTAGATCACAAATTAAAACATCTGATACACTATCAAAGTGCAGAGTAGATCTATTAGTTCAAAAACCATGACCATTAATATATACTAGAAATACTAGTGATAATTTCATGGTTTTCCTGTTTGAATTTTCTGCTGAATCTTAATTCTTCAGTTAATGATTGAATAAACTCAATATCCATAAAAATTCCCCTATCACATCGTTAAATATTTGAGCTTAATAACTTTAACAAAACTAGAAAAACCCGTGATAATTTCACAGTTTTCCTATTTCAATTTTCTAATGAATTTTAATTCTTAAGTTAATGATAGAACTTGCCATGAGCTTACTCTATAATAATAAAATATCTGTAGAAATTCCCCTCTCACATCGTTAAATATTTGAACTTAACTTTAACAAAAATATTGCAATAACAATCATAAATATGAATGCTGATCATTATTTTAAGATACAAATAAAAAGATATAAAATTGACAACTTTTTCCATTTTTCTGAAACTGGCATTAAACACTTCTATTTTCTCTTCTTGCTTTTTCATTAACTTTAACACTGAAACCAAGTAGTGTCTTCTCCCCTTTTCCAAGTGATCAAAACAGAATAGTCAATTATTTATGAGGTATTGGCAGGACATAACGGTCATGCAAACTAACGAAGTGAGGGGCAAGCACAATTATAATAGGATTTTTACATGTTAGAGTTGCCAGCCTTACACCCACCTAGTTTTGAATTCAGAATTATTCTTCTCCTAGACTGCCAATCAAGGCTAGAGAGCCCAATCTGACCCACTATTTAACCATAGGTGGATAAGAAGAGATAGATTCATACCTTTCCCAAGGGGTTTGGGCAAAAATGAATGCAACAAACTCAGACATTATTTTTTAACTCAGCTCATCATTTTTCTTTCCAAGCCACTAACCATTAACATGACCCACATGTCTATATATATATATATATATATATATATATATATATATATATACACACACACACACACAAGGCAGAATTCTATATATATTCTACAAGTTTTATTGAACTATACCAACAAGATCGGTACGTTTCATTTTATCTATTTAGCTTTTCCAATTTCAAACTAAATTGTCTTATGTTAGAATTAAATGAATTATATTTGAAATATAATTCTTGCTGCCTAAATACACCTTATTGACATTCCATGACCCTGCAGTAACACAATATTCTGACGTTCCCTTCTAGAAAGAGAAATCAAATCATTCAAGGAAAAGATCAAATATCCACTATATATATATATATATATATATATATGGTAAATTGAGTTTCCACTTTAAAGCCACTTCACTCACTTCTGCTCAACAATTTATTTTTCCCACAAAAAATGAAAACTTTTTAAAAAGAAATGAAGGTCATATTTAGGCAGAAAAAAAAAAAACTAGAACAGAAAAATATATTTTCTGACAAAAATTCATTAATTCCCTTAAAGAAAAGAAAAAAAAAAAAAGGAAAATCTTAGCCAGGTAGATTTCAAAACAACAAGTAAGCAAGCAGAAAAATAAAATTCCTTCTTATCAATTCATCTTTGTAATTAATAAGCTTGATCAAAGACAAACATTGCAAATATAAGCATCAGAAATAAATTACTTAACAGAAAAAATTTCAAACAAACATACATTTGACTTTAACACCCAAAACAAATTTCATAGTCCAAACACTGAATTTCCTCCCATCCATTTTTTTTTTAATCATTTCCCCCAAGGCAAGGTGCTAAAAGCCACTAAGGTACAAGGGGTTACTGAAGATAAAAGAGAATAATAGAGTGAAGGAAATTGAGAAAAAAATTACTTAGGAGAAATAAAATGAATGAGATTCAACCAGACATATAACAGTGATTGATATTCCATTTAAATTTTTTTGTAGATTGTATTTGTCAAGGAAGCAAGCTGAAAGGAGTTCCCCTGGCAAGAAGTACGAGAAAAGAAACTAGAGCTAATGGTTACCTTTAACAATTACAACAGTAAATTTGAGATCTAGCTACCAGTTATAAGCAAAATGAAAAATATAATCCAAAATGTAATTTAGTTAATCTATATTACAAATACAACTTAATCCCCAAGAAAAAAATTGCAAAGAAATACTTGAATATATAAGAGACTATATTTCAGCTGACAGAATCAAGAAAGAAAAAAAAACATATCTTTATTTTGAATTTCCCTCTATATACATTCCTTCATAGAAGATGGGAATAATCCTTGGTTAGTAAAACTTTGGTTCTATAACTTCTATTTTTAACATTTCCAGAGATTTTTTCCTTTCTCCAACAGAGGCTATGCATTATGCACACTTGAGCAATCATGTCTCTTTTTGATTCATGACTGACTTAGCAGAAGAATTCCCCAAGTAGGCTGCCATTATTTTCTGCAGTTGTCAACCAAAACTATAAAAAAACCATAGTTGAGAGGAGAAGAGATGGATTCATACTTTCCCTGAAATATTTGTGCCAAAGTGAATGTAATAAACTCGACTGGAATTCAAACTTAGCTCTCTGATTCCGAGCCACTATCCATCCCACAGCATTTGGTATTCCAAAGCAGTTAACCATCTTGGTATTGACCAAGCTCAATATGGCTTAACTTCAGTAAAAAAAAAAACAAGAACCAATGTTTCAATTCGATATAAGCTAGAGATTGTTTACTTTTTGAATAAAGATGAGAATTTTAAGGGAGATAATTCAGTATTTGAAATGCAAAATTTATTTCCAGCATTAAAAGTACAAGATACAATATTTATATAGTGTCCATAGCAGCAGGAAGTTAATGTATTTCTTTTTGCTTTTACTCAAACATTACAGCATGGATTACAACACAGCTCACCTGAAGAAGACTATAAATGTAACTGGCCGAATCATAAAGAACAGCACCACCCTAAATAAAAAAAAGGCATACCAGGAAAATGAATCTAAATTTCAATATTACAATCAGAAAAATTATGAAAAAGAAAAAAAATGATTTTAAAAACAAACATTATCTTATTTGAAATACCAATTACTTACATATTATAAACAGTAAATGTAACAATTATTATGGTACAGAAACAGCATATAATAATATAATAATTTAGAAATATATAAACACACAAATACATTATATATATATACACACACAAAGGGGAAAAAAGAAGAAACAGCTATTAGATTATGAATTAGAAATGTCAGGAAAAAAAAAAAGATTTTAACAATTGACACTAAAAGAATGAAAGCTCCATTTATACAACAATAAAAAGCACTAAAACACTACATAAAAGAAATAGTGACAAGAAAGAGAAATACTAATATCACTGCAGACAATGAACAACGCACTTTTTTGAAATTACAATATAGACAAAAATAAAACAGATTTGAACTCAATAAATCTGCCTACAGAAATTATCCAATGAAAACACCAACAAATATAAAATATGTAAATTATTTCAAGTAGAGAAATAACAAAGCTGCTTTGTTAAAACAACATCAAGAAATTAACAATTCCATTGCACAAAAGAGAAATAATTAAAAAAATGAACACAAAATAAGGACTGCCAGAAAGAAAAAGAAACAAAGCAAAAGCAAAAAAAAAAAAAAAATGGCTCAAAAAAATTATTTAATTAAAAATTAGCATAGCATTAACCCATTCAATAAGACCTATACATCAAGAAAATATCTGTAAATGCTCCCAGTAGTTACATAATGATAATGTTGGGGCCTTTGTTTCACATATAAAACCATTATTCTGTATTGAAAACACATTGGGCCTGTAGAGTTGTGGCTTTTGCTAAGTATCATGAACTTAGCAATATATAATAAAAAATGAATGTTTATATAAAAAAAAAAAACAACAAAAAAAAAAACAATTCCAACAGAATTATTTGTGCAAAAACCAAATATTCTAAATTTTTTTTAAACAAAAATCTAAAAAAAATTTGCTCAAAATAAAAACATACTAGAAAGTTCTCTGCAAAAAATACTAAAACAATTATGCAAAAAAAAAAAAAGAAACCCTAACAAATATTATCTATGCAAAAAAAAAAAAAAAAAAAACTTGTGAATTATTTGATAAATTTATTCATTTGCTGCATTAGGTGAGAGTAATAATATTTCAACTTTTTTGATGAAGTATTGTCAAATATTTTTTTCCACCTTATTTCTTTTCTGAGAGGGGGAGATATACTAAACCCCAAAGAAAGAACAGAGAGAAAAAAGTACTAGTAAAAAAAATAAAAATAAATAAATAAATGAATAAAACTATATAGAGAGGTAATAGTAAATAAAAATGCACTAGTCAAAAATGGAAGGTACGAGTAACAAAAATGGGGAAAAAAAAACAAAAAAGAACAAAAATGAAAAAAGAAAAAAAAATGAAAGAAAAAAAATGAAAGAAAAAAAAAACGAAAAAATGAAAAAAAAAACGAAAAAATAAAAAAAAAAACGAAAAAATGAAAAAAAACGAAAAAATGAAAAAAAAATGAAAAAATGAAAAAAATAAAAAAAAAAAGAAAAAAATGAAATAAAAAAAGAAAAAATGAAAGAAAAGAAAAAAATGAAAAAAAAAAGCATACTTGTCAGAAGAAAAACCAAAGGAAATACGTACAAAAAAAAACTAAAAAAATAAAAAAGACACTAGTATGAAAAAAAATAAATTAATAAAAATAAAAAATAGAACAATCATAGACATAAAAAAGAGGACTTGACAAAATGAAAGAGTGATATTCATAAATATAAAAAAAGATAAAAAAAAAAAAAAAAATATTAGTTCCAAAATAAATAAAACGTACTTGTCAAAAAAAAAAAAAAAAAAAATTAACTATCACAAAAATATATTAGTCACGAAAATAAAAAAAAGGAGAAATGTCCAAAAAATAAAAATACTTGTCAAAAATTAATAATACTACAACTACTCATCATCAAAAATCAGCACATTTTAAAAAATTTATTTTCCCTACCAACACTACAAAGTCAACTCCTATCAATGGATGCTAGATTACATTCAGATGATATGGGCACCTCAAGGCGGTGTAATGGTTAGCAAGCTTGTCTCGCTAGACCAATTACGACTGAGTAGTGAGTTCCATCCTCACTGGGTTCCCCCTACTTTTGGCCTTGTGCCACATCTAAGCTACGTTTGGAATATCACTACATTCAGATGATATATATAAAACAGATTTTATGCTTGCCAGTGATAGGAAACTAGTTTTTACCTGATGTTCAGGGAAACTTTCACCTTTATATTTTTACATGTTGAGGGTATATTTTTTTATTTTTTATTTTTAGTTGTTTTATTCTTTCACATACAAGTGAAGTTTTGTCAGCTGTTGAGCCGATTGTTGGCCTGTGAGCTGCATTACCTAATGCTCCAGACTGGATGAAATTCCACTTGAAAGCCAGACAAAAGAATTACTCAAAATGTTATGTACAACAAATAAAGATGAAACAATTCAGTGACTGTTAGCTCATCTCAAGACAAGGCCTGAAATTTTTTTTTTTTACTCGTCACTTTTGTGTGTGTGTGTTTGTTACAACTGATATCATCACAGGCCACTTATTCAGAAAACAAATATCTGAGATAACTCTGCAGATGTTATATATTAGATACATGCAAAAGTTTTCAGCTCTTTTTTTTTTTTTTTTTTTTTTTTTTTTTTCAGTAGAAACTTTTTTTTATTATTACTAAGATTCAGTCAAGCTAGCTCGGACATTTATGAATCTATCATGCCAACTATCATGATCTTGCATCAAGATCATTAGGTTGGCATTCTGTGTCATAACATAGCTGGTTGATGTAGGTGCTTGCTGGACAACCAACTGGTTAAGTGTCCAGGGCAGTAAATCACTCGCAAGTTCTTGTTTTGCTCACCAGCAGGGTCCTGCAAAGTGCATTCTGCATTCATTTCAAAACATTTCTTTCATTTGTCCAAATTCACTAAAATATGTTAAAAGCTGAGAAAATCTTTGTCGCCATATTTATTACAACATTTCAGCCATTGTATGCTCCGAACTTCTTCAGGTGGTTGGAATGCCAAACTGAACCCTTTATTTTGCTCACTGGGGTAGACTGTTCTACTAATCACTCTATTGTTAATTGCTTTTATGAATATACCAGTATTTTCCTCTACAACTGTGTTTGTCTTGATTCATACACCAACACACGGGGAACCTCACAACATCTCAACACTGGGTATTGAACTCACACTCGCACAGTGGATAAAGGCATTAATTAAATCCAGTGACAGGACCCAAAGAGTGTAAGTTAACAGTCTACCCAAGTGAGCAAAATAAAGGGTTCAGTTCGACATTCCAACCACCTGAAGAATTTCAATACCCAGTAGAGTCAGTGGAGAACGTGGAGATAACTGACATCCATTAAACATGGCATGTGGAACTAGAACAGTCTACCCCAGTGAGCGAAATAAAGTGTTCAGTTCAGCATTCCAACCAACTGAAGAAGTCCGAAGCATACAATGGCCGAAATATTATAATAAATATGGCGACAAAGATGAGGACAAAAATATATAAAAATTGGACAGTTATTTCAAGTTTACATAAATATAAAAATTATTAAATTATGCAAATTTCTTAGAATGTTAATGCTTATTAATTAACAATGATTGACAATGCTTTAAGAAATTCACAGACTATTATATTTAATACTACAAGTGGATATAAACAGAAGGTGGCTGCATAGTAGCAATAAGAGAATCAAAAGTTCAGAGGGTAGGTTTATCCATCAAAGATGTTGTTGTTGTACTATCTGTTCCATGCCAGTGGCTGTCCTCTCCTCCACTGCTTGGACAGAATCCTTGAACTTGTTCTATAACATCTGTTCCGTAGCAGTCGTATAACCAGCTAAAACCAGTGGCCTGAGCAGAGACACTCAGGTTCCCACGTTAAAACAAACTAACCATTGGAGAGTCGAAGGTAAATACTCAGAGAATCCAAAGTAAGGAAGACAGCTTCCAGTAAAGTCTTTGGCACTAAATCAACAAAGGTTCTTTCATGGAACATCAAGATTTGAAATATAATGGATGCTAGTTCAAATCTCACTTGAGATTTATTTTATCTTTCTGAGTTATGTTCTTTAACAATCACAGTATAATGATAAAGAGCAAGAGAAACAAGATGAAAGAAATTAATAATGCTAAGAATGATTATGTACACTATTTACATTATCCAGACTATTGTCCTCATCTTTGTTGCCATATTTATTACATTTCGGCCATTGTAAGCTCCGGACTTCTTCAGGTGGTTGGAATGCCAAACTGAACCCTTTATTTCGCTCACTGTGATAGACTGTTCTAGTACCGTGTGCCATGTTTTAAGTGATGTCAGCTATCAGTTATCTCCTGTTAATTCCCCTCTCCAAGTTCTTTACTGCCCTAACCGGGTATTGAACTCACACTCTTTGGGTCCTGTCACTGGATCTAACCAATGCCTTTATCCACTGTACATGTGTCCTTGAGGAGATAACTGATAACTGACATTCATTAAAACATGACATGTGGAACTAGAACAGTCTAACTAAGTGAGCGAAATAAAGGATTCAGTTCAACATTCCAACCACCTGAAGAAGGCTGGAGCGTACAACGGCCGAAACGTTGTGATAAATATGGCAACAAAGATGAGAACAATAGTCCCAATAATGTAAATAGTGTACATAATATCTCATCTCTGAAATATAGACAGATACTGAAAGGATAAAACGTTTTAATAAATATGGTGACAAAGATGAGGACAATAGTCCGAATAATGTAAATAGTGTACATAATACCTCATCTCAGAAATATAGACAGATACTGAAAGGCCGAAACGTTGTAATAAATATGGCGACAAAGATGAGGACAATAGTCCGAATAATGTAAATATTGTACATAATACCTCATCTCAGAAATATAGACAGATACTGAAAGGCAAAACGTTGTAATAAATATATGGCGACAAAGATGAGGACAATAGTCCCAATAATGTAAATATTGTACATAATATCTCATCTCAGAAATATAGACAGATATTGAAAGGCCGAAACGTTGTAATAAATATGGCGACAAAGATGAGGACAATAGTCCCAATAATGTAAATATTGTACATAATATCTCATCTCAGAAATATAGACAGATACTGAAGAATGATTATCCAAAACAGAAACAACAAATAAATTGTTAATCATATAAGATTAACCCATTCCAGTTATCAATATTACCTGACACTGACCTTTATTTTTCTAGTTTTAATTATAAAGTGAGAAAAAAATGTCATCAACATCACCATAGAATTAATTAATCTGGATGTCAAAGTTGGGGGCTGAAATAATAATCATATTCAAGATATACAAGTTGAAGAGATGCCTTAAAATTGTTAAACAAACAAGCGGCTTGAAATAAAGGATAGCCGAGAATTGAGAAAATTATAATAGAACATTATTAGAAAAACAGGTTAGGTTGGTGGGTTTAATGACATTTCAACACTTGCTCAGATATTTCATGTTGAATATAAGTGTCAGTAAACAAAAATCAATGAATTTTCAAAGGAATATACATAGCCAGACTTGCACTAAGGGAAAAATAAAAGGTAGACATAGACCCTGTTTAGGCACCCAAGTCAGAAAAAAGATAGACATAGACCCTGCTTAAGTACCAATGTAAAAAAAAAAAAAAAAAAAAAACAAAACATGGAGATATAACACAGTTTGGGGACTTCAGTGAAAACAGTAGACTCATTTTTAATAAACTTTGTATATGGAGTTTATTTTATTTTAATATTTTTACAATGATGAAGGTTACATAGTAAGAGGTACAGTTTCTGGAACAGGATTCCTACAGATGTATGTAAAAAAATTCCAAGACTTTTCAAGGACTATGTTAAGAAGTTTCAATTGAATGGTCATCAATTTCAAAAATACCAACTTTGTGATTTATTTTTTTAATAGTTTCACAGATGAGATGTTCAAAGAAAAGCTACAGTTGGTTCCAATAATTCATGTCACACGGATCAGTTGAAAGCAGTGAAGAAATCAAAGTGTTGAAGGCTAAAACACAACTGAATGCTGACCTGGTTATGTTATGCATTTTGTGTAGCATTCTACACAATTTGGAGTTCTACTAGATTTGAAAATTTTCAATTACACACTTTAATTCTTACTGCTACACATTTCAGCTATCTAGACTACTCATGGTTTGTGAATGTCACAAAAATTCTTGACTGCTTCACATTTCCAACCTCAAGGTATTCGTTGTATACTGTTCTGGCATTGGAATCACTGCAGAGAAGAGCCTTAGTCATGGAAACATTCCCAGCACCTCCAACTGTGGCCAAATTGTCTGTGACAAGGTGCTGTGCAACCAGTCTGCTATTTCATATTGTCAATGGGAATTTCCTTATTGACTGAGAAACCTCTCTCCACCAAGGCCTGTCCATGAGAGTACCAGCAATCTGCAAACAATTTTCCACAGTTTTTGATATTCTATGTTGCTAGACATAGAAGAGTAGAACAAAGCTGAAATTCTTGAAAGCCATATTTCCAGCTGCCTCCTCCTCAGACACTTTGTACTGACTGACTGACTGAC